CACTGCAAGCGTATGGGCACTCTACTTTTTAGATCGTCATGCAGTTAGAAATAGTGTTCTATCTCACCAATTGCAGACACGTCACCAAGGTGAGCAATGATCCAGGCCGGAGACTTGGAATCCAGTTATACCTGCCTACCTAGAGTTACCTTGACTGCGCCCGCAAAGCACTTCCATCGACATTACTGGAAGGCCCCTGTCCGCCCCCTTTCTGACTGTAAATCACGATGCACCTCCACGACAGGTTGCAAAGAGTACGAAAGTTGAGGCAACCGCAGCGCATGTCTCTGTGGGGTGCCTACGTCTGCTAAAGGTTACTGCCACATGCCTACCTTACTTATATCAGGTGTAGGTGCAAAGCAGGACATGATACGAGCCCCAGATTAATATAGGAAAAGAACCTGTCATGTTCGATACCAATACGACGGAACAGTCCTCACGTGCCCCCTTTTCAGACCCATTTCTGACGATTCCATCATTGCACCATGAACGAAGACATCATAATGGGGCTAGGTGGCAGTGCCGTGAGTAACAGGATGCAATATCGATTGACATACGTTCATACTCCTGGGAGCCCAGAGCGTTGACATGACGAGCCAACTACATACAGGCTTACACTGACACGTAGGAGGACTGAGATTAGTTGGCTAAGTCGACCTAGTTAGGAATGAGCAGTAAAGTATGCCTTGGGCAGCTCCGGTTCACGCGAGGCTGTGATGATTTTCAAATGGCTTTGGAATTAGTTTTACGGCGTGCAGTCGGGGATCCGCGGTGTCGGGACGCTCTGGTCCAAAAAACGGTCCAAATTACTCGACCATAGCCCAACGCGGACGCCCGATATCTATCGTGACGAGCATGAGGTATGGGTCCGTGGAGGGTGGAGGGTGGTGGGGGCCGGGGTCGTCTTAGGGGTCCAAAGTGGTTTCTAGAAAAGAAAACTAACGTATGAAACGACTGGGTGGGTACTCGTAGTGAGGTAGAGAAAGTGAGAAAGTGACGCGGACGTGTAAAATTGGATTGGGACGAAGCAAAATGTGCAAAGCCCAAGTGAGTGGTCAAAGAATGGGTGAACACTGAACAGAGATGAAAGAAAGAAAAAAAAAACAGCCTTGGGCCGCTCAATGGGTCGCTCGATGGGTCGCTCAATGGGCCGCGGTCGCCCTTAGCGGGCAATTACACTGGTGGGAATACCGCAATTGAACAGGTTTATCCCTGGGGTGGCCGCCGTTTGGGCGGCCAAGTCTGAGGCTTTGCGGCCAAAAGCGCGGCCCATAAGTGCAAGAACTGCAGTCCGTCACAATGGGGGGATGGGGCCATGGAAGCTCTTTATACCACTCTCTCTACTGCTCGAGCTTTGGGTGCATATGCCTTTAACCGATCTATCCTAGCAAAGCCACCACTCATCCGCCAAGCAGCCAATCACAACCCCCTGTCGGTGCTTGTGGCTCGGAACTTTCTGCTCGCAAACACGGCTCTATCATCTATCACACTAGACACGATCGACATCGACCACCCTCTCACTCCTCTCTCGCGCGGGACAAGGCCTTCTGGACGTTTATCTAACGAGCCACGGTGAACTCTTCCGGCACCCGGACGACCCAATGGGCTCTTGGTGACTTGCAATGCTTGCTAACGTGCCATTCCTAATGGGTTGGAGGCCGTGCCGCTCTGCACTAGACTACCATTTGTAGTGAAGTCGCGTCTCTGTGCTCCGCCTTTCCTAGGCTTGGAAAGAAATGCTTCAGCCTCGAGGGTCCTCTGCCTCGTTGACATCGAGGATTCCCATCTGCGGCGTCCCCTTCCAGAACAGCTTTACCCCGGTCGGATACGGGGTGTTCTAGCGTCACTGCGTAGATGACTCCTATCGTCCATTGTCCATTGTCCAGTGCCCCATGCTGATGATTTGTTGCTCGCATATGGACCACATGGGTCATACAGCCAACGGTTCGGCGCCCATGCCGGTGTCCCATGCTACCTATGATCCATCCTAAGATCCTGTGGAGTGGTACGCATCGGCCATGACCAAGACGTTGTGCCCCAAACCAGGCTGGGTCTTCATTCCTGCTCCTCCTGTCCCCCTTCGTCGGGTGCTTGACGTGGACGCTTGGCATCTGTCCTCTCAGGGGGGATCGACTGACTAACTGGTTGCCTGGCCCGTCTGTTTTCTATTTCTATATAATCCCCACCGCCAGTTTTAGAAACAAACAAGTCCTACGAGGCTTTAGGCTTTAGGCTTTAGGCTTTAGGCTTTTACCAATCCGCACCGTCTATCGTCTGTCGTCTTCCAGTTCCAGATGCCCATTGAAGTTATAATGGGCCAGCTTTCTCTCGAAGCCATGCCGGCCCCAATGAGTTCCTATAGTCGAGAGCACGAGGAGGATTCAACCGACTCGACGTACCAGTCCGACGTCGATTCTCATATAGATACCAACATCGAGTTCGACGAGGCAAGTGGCATCGCGACCTTCCCGTCTGGCACGAGATACTCGGTGAACGAACTTGACTCGGGAACTCGGGCGGCCGTCATCCAAGCCCTCAACACATCTTCGAAGCTGGCACTCCGTGGATGCGCTGCAAGGCCGCAAGACTACGTCTGGCTGATATCCGAAACAACAGAGTATCACGTCAGGACTCCTTATGGCGGTGGTCCCTACCAAGGACCCAGCTGTTCATGTCGGCAAGACGAGCGAAGCGTCGGTCTCCAGCACCCCTGTCGCCACACGCTCTGGCTCTGTGACCAGATCCTTAGCCAGCTTGTTCCATTGCCGAGCGATCCATATACATGGAATGTAGACGGCTTCCCGCAAGACAAGGGCGACGTGTGCAACTACATCTCCGACTACGACTTTGACGTGTTGGCTGATAGTCTACGGTGCGATGTCATGGCAGGCGAGACGCGGAAGCCCAGGCCTCGGCGTATCCAAACGGCCCGAGAAATCTTAGCCACCCTTTCCGAGACTCCGGTGGAGGAGTACCGTCTGGATCTCACGGGCGAAAACGACAGCAAGAGAGTGGTGAAGGAGGGGGACCTCGAAGGGACGCTATTCCGCATGCTATTACGGAACGATTCGATCCTTTCTTACTTCTTGACCTCGATGCGGGATCACGAGCCACTCAACCCGCGTTTCCGGCATTTTCGCGACCGAGCCGCCACGGCCTTCAAGGCTTTCGACAGGTACATCGACACGCCGGAACCGGAACGGGCAGAGTTGCGTCAAGACCCACAGTGGTGCTGCAGGACCGTCAAGGATATCTCGGAGCAGATAAAATCCGTCATCATCTATTCCGAGCGAGATCTAGACGACTACGACCGCAGGGCTGCGGCAAACACCTTAGTCTACATACTGCGCCAGGTGGTAGGCCGCAACAAAGAATACGACACGACACGTAACGGGGCCAACAGGGGTCGGACCAGTTTCGGTGCAACATTCAACCTCTGCCGACAACTTGTCATCGACTCCAACCACGACTTCATCCTCGACATATTGGACGAGCTTCCTTTAGAGTTCCTCGTCCACTTATTACCGGAGCTCGACGGAATCGAACGCATGATCAGACACACCAACATTCCGTGGCCGTATGTCAAGAAACTAAGCAACATCATCTTCAGTTTACGGGGGCATGGATCGAGGTCAAGCAGCGAAAGCACGGAGGGTTCCCGGAAACGTGTATCCCAGGACAATGACAGATACGCCAAGCGTGTCAGATAGACGGCAAAGACCGTCCCGGCCCCGGTCCTGCGATACGCGCATACGTCGAATGCTTTCTTCTGGTTAAGGAGGCATCGGATGGAATCATGGGGGATGAAGGGGAAAATCCGGTCCCATCGTCAAAGGCGGGAAAGCGCCTCCCGGCCTCTCCGTCCAGGAGCAGGTCTCCATGGATGGAGAAATACGGCGTTGTTCTTTTCTTATTGGTCTTCTGGCCAGAATTACTCATTTTCTTTTATTTCTTTTATTTTTCCTCCCCCAGTTAGCGAGCAGCGAGCTCCTTTCCTTCAAGTCTGCAGAGAAAATTCTGTCGGGCTATTTCCCCATTCATGTCATCTGTTGCCCGGCTTCTTATCCAAGCAACAATCTACCCATCTAACTATCATGAAACCCCACCAAACCCATCAAACATCTTCCCGCAGCCCAAAAGCACGAAGTTATAACCGAAATGAGAAATGACGATGAAGAAGAAGAAAAAAAAGTTTATTTATGCAACGATGGCAAACTCATATAAGACTATTAGATAAAACCCACGTTTTAGGACAGCAATGGAATGACATACAATATGACTAGCCCTCTGTTTATTCTTTTTCTTATTGATTTATCTGACATCCCGAGTATAGACAGTGACTCTAATGTTATGTAACCTACTACATAATGTAGATATGTAGGGCAGAGGAAGACTGATGTGTCTTTTCACATTTAAACCTAACAGGTAGTCAACAGATCTGTATCAAATCCCCAGAATGAGAATCGCCCACTTCTATCCCAAGTTTAACCCTTTACTTATCTTATGGCGACTTATATATGACATGCATCAAAACGCTTCCTTTAGGTACCTGGGTAGATATTTGATCACCAAACATACACACATAGCACGTACCATATCAGCCTACGCGTTCTCCTATTTTCGGTTATCATTTCTATTTCTATCTCTATCCCCAACCTTTTAATATATCGAAATAATAAAAACCTACTACTCCTATTACCCACCAGCGGCAAATGGACTTCTCTTCCTCAACGCCTCACCATACCGCCACAATATAAAGGGTCCAGGCCACCCGATAATGACTCCTATAAATGCTAGCAACGTGTTTCCCCATCCATACCCGAGATTCTTGTACAGAGCCGGGGCGAATAACGGGAATCCGAATCCTGCTAGGGAGCGGAAGACTGGGAAAAGGTGTGGCGGTTAGTTGTGTCTCTCGTCGCCCCATATGAGTGTGAAACAAAAAACGAAAAACGAAAATATAAGAAAAGCAAAAGAAAAAAAAAAGAATTAAATAATGATGATGAGAGTGGGACTCGAACCCACGCGGATTGCTCCACTGCGAAGTTTTTCATTCTTCTTGGAATTCAAGTTTTTCTGGTGACCTGAACGCAGCGCCATAACCACTCGGCCATCTCACCATGACTCGTGATGTTGTCAAGCTCACAAGCAAAAACAAAAAGAGCACAAAACGAAGAAAGAAAAGAACTCACCAGTCCCAGCACTAACAGCCGAAGCCGCATACCTGGTATACGTATCCACCAAATACCCCTGCAGACACTGAAACGCGACAATAGTGCCGGCCGTGAAGAGAAAAGTGCCTATATTCGGGAAAATCCAATGAGTCTTGAACTCGGCCGACCAGCCATATATCACCAATCCGACAGGAACTAGAAACGCGCCCGGAATCATCATCGGAACCCTGTATTCCGGTCTTCCCGGTCCGCCGTACTTCTTCTTCAACGAGGCGTATATGCGATCCTGTAAAGGCGCGCACACCTGCACGCCTACGAAGAACCCTAGTCCGAGAGAGATGTAGTTCAACCCGCCTATCCCGAGCGGTTCGCCGTATCCGTCGGGTTTGGGGCCGGACCATAGCGAGGGGAAAGATGTCAGGACTATGTATATCAGACCGTATAGGTATAGGTTATACAGCGCGAGAGCCTGCACGACGATTTGCGTGGTGATCATGCGGAAGGGACGTTCGAGCGCTACGCGCAACGTCTTGGCTACCGTGCGATCGGGTCGGTCGTAAGGGGTATGTAAGTCCGCATTACCCGTTTCTTTCACCAAGCGCTTCCTTTTCCAAACAAGCAGGACAGGTGCATAAGTCTCCTGTAAGAAGAACAGTCCGGCGAATTGGATGAGCGCGTCGGCGATCGTGGTGGCGTAAAACGCCCATCGCCACGTCGTGTTCTGCGCTATAAAGGCGCCGGCTATGGGACCTATCGCGGGCCCGAGTAAGGGCGCTAGACTGTATATCGAGAGGGCCTTTCCGCGTTCTTCGGCGGTGAAGAGGTCGGCTAGGACGCCGCCGCCTATGGCTAGGGGTGCGGATCCGCCTAGGCCGGCGAAGAAGCGGAAGGCGATTAGTTGTTCCTTTGTGCGCGCCAGACCGCAACCTAGGTTGAAGAAGAGGTAGATGAGGTTGACGAGTTGGAGGATTATTACTCGGCCGTAGAGCTCTGACAGAGGGCCCCAGCTGGGAAATGAGTGTTAGATGGATGATAAAGGGGGGTGGCCAGTTTAGGTTAACTTACACCAAGGGTCCAACGGCATATGCGAGGATGAATATTGATAATGTGAGGTTCTTCTCGACTATACATCATCACTCGCGTCAGCTAAACCAGTTCTCCACACGATTTTCACCGAAACACATAAGCCGGCTGTTTCCTTTCACTATCATATGCAGATTCAAAACTTACAATCCTGCGTAATCCCCAATTCCTCCGAAATCGACTCCAAAGCCGGGGCAACAAGAGAGGAAGAAATGGGCGAAATAAGCGTAAACAGCGAAACAATAAACGCAGCCGCCCATTTCTTTCCAAACGTCCAATTCTTCGGGTTCTGCGGATCGTCCGGTCCGGTCCAAGTCACCAGGTTCGGATCACTCGGATCGGGAGCCGTGGTATCGACTTTTTGGACGGCGTCGTCGTTGGTCTCGCCGCCTAGTTCGGGATCCCGTTGGTTCTGGATCCCGTCGCGGACTTCGGTTTCGGAGATGTGGCGAGATAGTGTAGCAGGTCGTGGGGTTGTAGAGGATGATGTGGAAGTGGATGTGGAAGAGTCATGGCTTTGTCTCTTTTCTATCTCGGTTGAAGCCCTTTTTGTGGTACCGGTAGAAACTGGTTGAGATGATGAGGAGACATCCTTTTCGGAAGCGGGATGCTTCTTCTCTTTCTCATTCTCAGTCATCCTTTGGATTTGGATGAAAACGAACCCCTGTCCCACGTTCCCAGTTGATGTATGTAGTTACCACCAGCGGAACGATCCGTCTGCTGCTTTTGTTCCTCTGAAAAACAATGGTCGACAGCCAGCTGGTATTATATGTAGTCGGTATGATTGGGGTGTGAAATATATAATTAATCTTATAAATAATCAGACGTGCCTGCGCCAAGATGATGTTTTACCGTAATTTTTGACTGCCGAGCACGAATATTTACGGTAATTAAGGTATACCAAGAGGGGGGGGGGGGGGGGGGGGGGTTTTTTGATTTTTGTTTATATTTTTGATTTTTAGTTAGGAAGAAGGGAATAAATATTATTTGTTTTTTGGTTTTTGGTTGTGAGTTTTAT